CTTAACTATTTTATTTATCTATCTATATATAGATATGTTTATATATGTATGTATTTGTTTGAATCTATACGTAAATTTGCAAAATGGCGGCCTCGCCATCTTGGTCGCTAAACCTTCGATAATTATGCCATTGCAATTTATCCTGGCTGGTAAGAGAATATGCTATTTTATGCTTTCTCATCCATTTCCGACCTTCCGTCGAGCAGACCATTCGTACTGGAGCAATGGTTCTGGAGCTGTGGAACCACGAAATCACACGAGTTCTCGCTGATCGCTTTGTCGCGCATGCAGATGTCCAGTTCTTCCATCGGACGGTGCATCGCATAATCAAAGAACGCCTGAACGAGGCTTCTGTTGAGATCGTAAAGAAGGAAGTCTTCTTCGCCGACTTTATGAGGTGAGTTTAATGAGCCAAATCAGCAGATAAGTTATGTTCACCTTTTGTCGGTTGAGGTGATGAAGGACTGGTAGTTGAATTTTCCCACAATCCCACGACTATAACTGACGTTTTCAATTGCATTTCACATATGCTTGCTTTCGCAAAAAGTGTTCTCATCCCGGCCGGAGTGGAGTGCAGTTTCGACCTCGCCTCGGTCAGATCAACACTCTCAGCGGGAGTCGAACCGTGACAGTTCAACGTGCAGGCTCGACACCTTTAACACTACGCCACTTTGCCACGAGTGGCCTTGGGTCGGAGGGCAGATGTAAATTTTAAGGAAGGCCAAGCCTTTTTCCATATCACATTCTTTGGTGGAGTGGCTATGAAACAAATTTTATGTTTGCCATAGCAATCTGCGACATTACTTTCTCCGTTAATGAGTAGGTTTCCGAGGCTATGTTCAACCTGGAAAACCTACTCAAAACGAAATATAAGGGCTATCTATTTTGTGCTTTTGCTGCAAATATTTTCTGCTCAACTGGCCAATCTTGACGCCGAATACACACACGATGCATTAAAAGGGAGGGTAAATTTGTCTCTACCCTGCCCTCCTCGAGTCTCTTTATCTCTTGCCTGGGCAACACATTCTACCTCGCTTCATCATTTCAACATTACTGCCCCAAATGAATAAGCCTGACATCATCGTTTTACACGACAATCTTTACCGAATAGACGATTCTACTACTAACAACATTTGTCAGTAGGATATCAAAATTGATGGCTAACTTATGGTTGCCTAACTGGGCAATTTAGCCCAGAAAATAGATTAGGCTGCGAATAGTTGGGTTCGCTTAGAAGTTTCCACTTGTTACGTGGTAGGGCTGATCAGATGGTGAGGCGAAATCAAAGCCTTCTGAGAAAAATCAAGCGTTTGACCACTGAAACTGTATGTATTCTGTCCTGAAAACCAAGTACAAGCTGTCTGGTTGATCTATTTTTGTTAATTTTTGCAGTATTCACACACTTTTGATGCATCGTATGAGTTGACCCTAATAATGCCTTAAAGTACCATAAAGTAGCCCTCCTCGAACGGTGTTCACTAAATGGCCCAGCGACTGGCCGGGGGAACAAGAAAGCCTCAAAATCTGATCTCAAAAGGGCTATTCTTTCAGCGGAATACTGCCATGCATCAGTTTAGTCTAAGTCAACCTGACCCTTTTAACTATTTGTTGCATTAGCCAATTCAGAGTTAGTTCGCCT